TGCCCTCCATTTCAGCCTTCTTCTGCCCAGGAGGGATTCCCAAATGTCCTAGCGACCAGACTCGTCCTCCTTTTCCAGGGCCTGCCCTACATTTCAGCCTTCTTCTGCCCTGGAGGGATTCCCAAAAGTCACAGTGACCAGACTCGTCCTCCTTTTCCAGGGCCTGCCCTACATTTCAGCCTTCTTCTGCCCAGGGGGATTCCCAAATGTCAGTGACCAGACTCGTCCTCCTTTTCCAGGGCCTGCCCTCCATTTCAGCCTTCTATCCAGGAGGGATTCCCAAATGTCACAGTGACCACACACCTCCTCCTTTTTTCCAGCTATGTCCTAAATTTCAGCTTTCTGTCCAGGAGGGATTCCCAAATGTCACAGTAACCAGACAGGTCCTCCCTTTTCTAGGGCCTGCCCTCCATTTCAGCCTTTCGTCCAGGAGGAATTCCAGACTGCCCTCCATTTTGAGCATGACTAAGAAGCCTGGATTTATATTTATATCAGTGTTTTCTAGCTTTTCTTTGGTCATGTCTTCCATTTTTTCTTGAATGTCCAACATTTTGCATTGCCTTGTCCTCCTTGGCAGGTTACAAGCTACTTACTCTTCTCCCTTCTCCTCCTTCCTTCCTTTTCTGAAGAGGGTGACAGCAGGGAGCAGATAGGCAGCCCTGTTCTGTTCTGCTCTTTCCTCCAGCAAATGGGTCTTTCAAGTGAAAAGACAGACAGATAGATAGATAGATAGATAGATAATCTGTCTTCTTGAAACACACACACACACACACACACACACCCCTGTATAATTCAGATTTGTAGTCACCTGGACTAGAGAGGGGATATATGATATAAGTTCTTCCGCTACAGATTTTTGTTTTCTTTCCGGGCTCAGCTTTGCTGTCTGTGATCATACTATCAGCTTTCTGAATTAACTGGCAATTTTGTTTTGTTTTTAACCAGCTAGTAATAGGCCATATAGTAATCTTTGTCTTGATCAAATGTTATTGTTTAAAAAGGTAGTTCAACTTTTGTTGCAGGGAGGGCAGGTATGAGCCAGGTTTTTAATTTTATCTTCCAGCTGATTGAGCCCTTGTTTGCTTAAAAGGCTATTTTTGAAGTGATTTACAACGGTGGATTGTAACGCAGTGAGAGGTTGGCAAAGAATCTTTTGAATGTGGTTGAAATTGTCTCTGTTAGCTTTGTTAATGTTTTAATGTTAAATCTGGAGCATCATGGCCTCTCTCTTTTCCATGCCAGCAAGATGTCCATCATTGTAAGGGATTGTGTGTCTGTGGGGAAGGGAAGACCCATTATTGGAGGGAATCTTTTGGTGAGGACTGTTAATCTAGTGGCGAAAACCTCAAGTTGCTGCTGTAAGGATGATCATGAGGAAAAGAGCTAGCATGTTTACAAGGAACTTTTGGAAAACAAAAGTAGAGGCAGGAAGTATTTGTTAGTACCCTGCAAGCCCAAGTTTGCTGACAACTGGTAGTTCCTGGCATAGCTTGTGAGTATTGACAAGGGCTGCTAACCAATCAATTCCCTATCCCTTGTGCAGTACTAAGCGAACCCTGCTTACTTTCTTGTCTCCCAATGATTATAGCATTTTCTGCTCATTTATAGGTAATGCAAGACATTTATTATACTTGTTATAGATGAGATACATTTCAGTGCATGGAAAATTCTGTAGAAATTCTGAAGAAACAGG